GTTCCCGGCCGGTTCCCGCCGGCGGGCGGCTTCTCCCGGCGGAATCGCCGCCATCCCCTGCTCCTGCTCCGCGCCTGGGTCCTGCTCCGTGCAGGGTCACCTCGGCCACCCCGTCCCATGGTGACCGCCGGTTCCGAGGGCCTTCCCAGGCCTTGGGCACCATGGGATGCTTGAGGCCGGAGGGGACCTTCGGGGACGACCTAGTCCCAGCCCTGCTCCAGCAGGGTCCGCGGGGCACAGGGGCGCTCCAGGAAGCCTTGGACATCTCTGGAAGAGACCCCCGAGCCCCTCTGGGCGACCTGCTCCTGGGGGCGATGCCCCTTCCTCAGTCACTGCTTGGATCCAGGCAGGGGCCGCGATGGCCGCGGTGGGGACGCGCATCCCCAGCTGTGCCCAAGCCAGGGGTCCCATGTCCTGCTGTCCCCGGGTGCCGCGGTGGGGATGCGCATCCCCAGCTGTGCCCAAGCCGGGGGTCCCATGTCCTGCTGTCCCCAGGCGCCGCTCGGCTGCTTCCCCTTTGCTCTCAGCGTGGGCCCCTGCCCTTGTGCCTCGTGCTCACCCTGGGGACAGCACGGCCACCCTGGGACAGCCCCGGGACATGGGGGACACCTGCGTGGGTCTGTGCACACAAATGTCCACAGAGGCCCTTCCTGGCGCCCAGGGACAGGCCGGGAGCAACGGCACAAGGTGAAACTCGGGAATTCACCTAAGCACGAGGAAGAGCTTCCTCCCCGCGAGGCAGCAGGTTGTCCCGGCAGACACGACCCCCGCCTGGCCGCGAGGCTGCTCCGGGCAGACGGAGCGGAGTCATTACAGAATCACAGAATCATAGAATCACAGAATGCTTAGGGTTGGAAGGGACCTCTAGGGCTCACCCAGTCCAACCCCCTGCACACGCAGGGTCACCTAGAGCACGTGGCACAGGGCTGCGTCCAAGCGGGTTTGAAGATCTCCAGAGAAGGAGCCTCCACAACCTCTCTGGACAGCCTGTTCCAGGGCTCTGGCACCCTCACTGGCAAGAAATTTTTCCTTATGTTCCTGTGGAACTTTTGGTGTTTCAGCTTGTGGCCATTACCTCTAGTTGTGTCGGTGGCCACCACTGAAAAGAGACCAGCCCCATCCTCCTCACTGCCTCCCTCGAGGTGCTTCTAGACACTGCTCAGGTCCCCTCTCAGCCTTCTCTTCTCCAGCTGAACAGGCCCAGCTCCCTCAGCCTCTCCTCATAGGGCAGATGTTCCAGGCCCCTGATCATCCTTGTAGCCCTGCGCTGGACTCTCTCCAGCAGCTCCACATCCCTCTTGTCCTGTGGAGCCCAGAACTGGACACAATGCTCCAGATGTGGCCTCACCAGGGCTGAGCAGAGGGGAGCATCCAGGGAGCCTCCCCTGCAGCCGGGACTCCATGCCCGGCAGGTCCTGCCGTCCCCGGGGAGCCCCATCCCCTCCGCTCACAGGCTCTGCTCGCCCCGCTCCAAACGCGGTGGCTGGAGCGTGGGGCAGCAGCCGGGTCCCTCAGCGGCCCAGGGCAGTGCCCGGGTACCAGGAGAGCTCCGGGTGCTCCAGCCTCCCCCATGGATCCCGCGTTCAGTACCTCCTCCAGAGATCCCATGTTTGGTACCTCCTCCATGGATCCCCCATTTGGTACCTCCTTCAGGGATCCTTTGGTACCTTTCCCATGGATTCCATGTTTGTTATCTCTTCCATGGATCCTTTGGTACCTCCCCCATGGATCCTGTGTTCGGCACCTTTCCCATGGATCTTTCAGTACCTCTCCCATGGTTCCCGCCTTCCTGGCTCCTCTGGCCTCCCCATCCTGGCCAGTCCAACAACTACTCCTTGTCTGACATGACCTGTCCCTTTCCCTTTCCCTTTCCGTTTCCCTTTCCCTTTCCCTTTCCCTCCCCTTTTCCTTCCCTTCCCCTGCCCCTTTCCCTTTCCCTTCTCCTTTCCCTTTCCTTTCCTCTTTCTCCTTCTCTTTC